TGTGTGTGTGTGTGTGTGTGTCAGTAAGTGAGTGAGTGTGACAGGATTGGCCCAGGTTTTAAATATACATGACATTATTGTTAAGCCCATGTCAGAAAATTGGACGGAGTGACAGACTTGTACATACTATTTATGGAAGGCCCATAGATCAGGAAGTATCCTTCTGCTCTTCGCCCACTCTACCACACACGCTAAGTACGTCACTAGTCTTTGAACGTGAACAACCTGCCTGTTATACATACATGTACAAATTCATTACCTCTGATGATGATTGTCACGAGATAAAGGACTGTTGTTTAACTTGTCATGATTATGCACTTTCTTATTTAAGTTGAAAGACGGGGGTTTGATTCCCATCTAGGGAAATTAATTAATTAATAGAGCATCTCCATCTCGCCACCCCGGGATGTACAAAGTTATATTAGCTCAATACCTAGTTTGAACATTTTGACGGTAAAATTTTTTTTGAGTCTACAAACATGTAAAGCTTTGGCGAGAGTATTATTTTTTATGTATCTTGACTCTGAATAATCTTACCATATTGAATTTAGCAGATTTCGTTTTTGACCTCGTTGCCTTAGTAACTCAAAACGTTTAAAAATGCTTTGTAATTCTGAGGTAGCCTTCAGTCTTAGGGAATGCTGTACCCCACTCAGAACAGATCTGCTCTGACAAGCATTGTACATGCAGCACACCGCCCATAACAATAACGTGACTATAAACGTGTGCGTAGGGGTATTGAGAAAAGGATTCAGACAAAAGAGATGAGATGTTACCGCAGACTCTTTGAAATCTCAAACAAAGACCACATCTTAAATGCTGAGGTATGGAACAGAATCACAAACGCAGTGAGGCAGCATGAAGATCTACTGACCACAGTGAAGAGACAAAAATTAATATGATATGGGCATGTCACAAGATCCACATGACTTACCATAACAATCGTACAAGGAACCGTACAAGGAAAGAGAAAGAGAGGAAGACAGAGAAGGAGATGGGAGAACAACATCGCAGAGTGGACAGGGAAGACGATGGGTGAAAGCAGAGGACAAAGAGAAATGGCGAGAGCTGCCCCCTCGGTTACCCCAACCACGGGATAGAAGAAGAAGAAGAGGTAGGGGTATGAAACATTCACAATCTTTAGATCTTGCAACTGAACCAGACAGACACGTATCACACGTTTCAACTCTCCACATGATAGTTCGCTACATCAGAAGTTATTTCTGCCCGTTTTGAGTTACTAAGAACATGGGATCAGAAACAAAAAGTTCTACCTGATACTTTCCACGTGTAGAGTTACTAAGACCACATGACCTGAAGCAAAATGTTGTATCTCGCCCAACAAAATCGTAAATTTAATCGGAGTCGTTGTCAAAACATTCAAATAAGTGCATTCGAAAAAGCTTGGCATGTTGTGAAGTTCAAAATTTTTGACGTCAAATTTCTCAAAAATAGGTACTAGACTGATAGAACTTTGTGATTCTAGGTTAGCAGCGTGCCACTGGTTTCGACTTTCAACAAGACAATTGTCGGATATTTCGTCATGACAGGTGACTCCCCGATAAGACTAGAACAGACCTCAGCAGAACAAACATCTGTTACCCAATCCCTCCGTGTGGTCAAAATTTCTACGCTATTGAAAATGTTGAAGACCGCTGATATGTACCTATTTGTGAACCACACACAGAAATCGATAAACTGATTGGTGAAACACTGTCACAACCTACAGATTGACAACTGCTATATTTATATCTGTCTGTCTGTCTGTCTGTCTGTGTTTCTCTCTGTCTATCTGTATGTCGTTATATATCTCTTTCTCTCTCTCCCCTCTCTCTCTCTCTCTCTCTCTCTCTCTCTCTATCTCTATCTCTCTCTCTCTCTCTCACACACACACACACACACACACACACACACACACACACACACACACACACACACACACACTCTCTCTTTCAATGTAGGAATGTTTGTATATCTGTCGGTCTCTCATTCTGTATGTGTGTGTGTGTGTGTGTGTGTGTGTGTGTGTGTGTGTGTGTGTGTGTGTGTGTGTGTGTATTTTAACACATGATATTTTCATTATAGTATAGATAGATGGATGGATGAAGGGATAGATAGATAGATAGATAGATAGATAAATAGATAGATAGATAGATAGATAGATAGATAGATAGATAGATAGATAGATAGATAGATAGATAGATAGATAGATAGATAGATAGATAGATAGATAGATAGATAGATAGACGTTCAAAAAATCCCCAGCCATGAGCAAGTCATACTGCTCGGCGACTTTAACGCTAGGGTGGGCGCTGATGCTGATTCCAGGCCCAACTGTCTTGGACATCATGGAGAAGGCAGTATGAATGAAAATGGGCAACGTCTGCTTGAGTCGTGCGCGTCTGCATGATCGATACCTTACGAACTCTTACTTCCAGACAAAAGCTCAGCACTAAGTCTCCTGGAGAAACCCCCGCTCTAAACACTGGCACCAGCTCGACCTGATTAACACCAGACGCTGTCACCACAGGAATGTGTTCTTCACACGTTCTTACCAGAGCGCAGATTTTGATATCAACCGCCGCCTGGTCTGCTACAAGATCAGAGTTCAGCCAAAACAAAATGCATCACTGTGAGCCCCCAAGAAAAGTGTGTATCGATGCCAGCAAAACTCTACACTCAGATAGAGCTGAGGTGTACATAAAAACTCTGAAGGACGTCTAACAGCAATGGGATCACCTTAGAGACACTCTCCTCGGCGCTGCCCTGTCAGCCTTTCGGATAAAGCAAGGCAAGACACACGACTGGTTTGAAGCCAACTCAGGCTAGCTGAAAACTATCATAGAAAAAAGCGCGGGGCACTTCTGGAACACAAACGCAACCCCTCTCATTCAACACTGCAAGCTTTGAGAACAGCCAGAAGCACCGTCCAGAAAACAGACAGACGATGTGCAAATGACTACTGGCTTCAGTTGTGTGAGAGCATCCAGACTGCAGCCGATGCAGGCAATATCCGTGATGTCTAAGATGGAATTTAAAAAGCTGTCGGCCCAACACAGAGCAAAACCGCGCAGCTAAAATCTGCATCAGGCGAAAGAATCACCGACAAAGGAAAGCAGATGGAGAGATGGGTGGAACACTATTCCAAGCTATACCCCTGGGAAACAGCATCCCCGATTCTGTGCTGGAAACTCTCGAGAATCTCTCAGTCATGGAAGACTTGGATGAGATAACCACCGTGGAAGAGCTGCACTAAGCCATCGAGAGCGTACCTACCGGGAAACGCCAGGACTGGACGGGATTCCATCAGAGATCATCAAGTGCGGGAAGAGTGTCCTGCTGAACTACCTGCATGAATTACTGCGTCAGTGCTGGCAAGAAAGAGCGGTTCCACAGGACATGAGAGACAGCAAGATAGCCACCCTGCATAACAAAGGGGATAGAAGCGACTGCAATAATTATCATGGGATCTCTCTGCTTAGCGTTGTGGGAAAGATCTTCGCCAGAGTCACTTGAGCAGGCTACAGAAACTGACAGGGTATATCCTGAATCACAGTGTGGCTTCAGGACTCAGTGCTCAGCGTCTGATATGATCTTCTCCCTAAGACAGCTACAAGAGAAGTGCAGAGAACAGGGACAACCGCTCTATCTTTCGTTCATCGACCTCACCAAGGCCTTTGACCTCGTAAGCCGGGAGAGCCTGTTTCGAGTCCTCACGAAGATTGGGTGTCCACCGAGGCTCCTTTGCATCATCCAGTCTTTCCACACATATATGAAGGGCATCGTTCAGTTTGACGGCTTTTTCTCCCAGGTATTTAACATCCAGAATGGTGTAAAACAAGGTTGCGTACCTGCCCCTACCCTGTTTGGAATCTTCTTTCCAGTCATGCTGAACTATGTCTTCGGAGCGTCAACCGATGGAGCATATTTCACACCAAGTCGGATGAGAATTTGTACAGCCTCTCCCGTCTCAAAACAAAAACTAATGTCCATAAAGTCCCCATTACAGACATGCTGTTTGCAGACGATGCATGCAACACCGGCAGCTCACTCAGAATAACAGCTGCAGAGCCTTATGGACGGTTTTTCTCGTTCATGTCAAGACTTCAGCTTCATTATCAGCCTGAAAAAGACAAACGTGATAAGCCAGGGCGTAGAGCAGCCTCCAGCAATAACGATCACCAACTACAAGCTGGAGAATTCACCTACCTTGGCTCAACCTGTGGTTGGATGCTGAGATCAAGAAACATATAGGGTGTGCAGCCACGACATTCGCCAGACTGAGAAAGAGATCCTAGGAAAACAACAAGATGACGATCGGGACCAAAGTAGCCATCTACAGGGTGTACGTCCTCAGCACATTGCTGTACGGATGCGAGACCTGGGGCGTGTACAGCAGACAATAAAAAATTCTCAACGCATTCCACATGCGCATCCTTGATATACAGTGGAGCGACAAAGTCACCAACGTCGAAGTTCTCACCCGTGCGCAGATCCCAAGTCTGTTCACCACGCTCCGGCAGCGCCGACTCCGCTGGCTTGGCCACATGCATCGCATGCCGGATGGAAGAATCCTAAAGGACTTATTGTACGGTGAGCTGGCCCCCTGAAAGCGAGCGCAAGGGTGCGCCCATCTTTGCTTCAAAGATATGTGCAAGCAAGAAATGAAATCGCTCGATAAGGACACTGGGGGGAGCTGGGAGACGCTGGCCTGCGATCGCGACAAGTGGAGACATGCGCTGCGCGCTGGTCCCATCAGAGGTGAAGCCCGACTGCGACAGGCTGCTGAGGACAAACGCCGTCGCTGCTCTGAAAGAACATCCAGAGGCTACCAACGCAGAAAGACACCACTCACAAGTGTAGCCACTACAACAGGGACTGCCATTCCCGTGTGGGCCTGTTCAGCCACAGCAAGCCCTGCTCTCGAACCTGAAATCTCCTACAGCGCAGATCCATAGTCTCCTGAGACTGGAGAATGGAATACAGATAGATAGATAGATAGATAGATAGATAGATAGATAGATAGATAGATAGATAGACAGAAGATCGCCTTTTGGAACACAAGCGCTTTCAAAACCAAGGTCCGAGAAACATTTCTTAAAAGAACAGGAACGACCATTTCACCTCATATTTTTTAGATCTCCACCAGATCTAAACAACAGCTGGAAGTAAAGCTGCTGAACTATGCCTTAAAAGTGTTAAAAATAAAGTTAACACGTATACAGTAGCAACCAAATGAAACTTGAAAATGTAATCACATAATCAGTGTGTTACAGTCTTGCACTACCCACTCAACAGCCTATCATTTTGAAGCTAAATAACTTCTGCACCATCTGATACTTTAATATTTTATATGTGTTAGGAGACGTCTGAGATATGGTCACTCAAAACTGACAGTAACAAATCATTCTTAGCAAAATTGTCCGAAATTCAAGAAACTTAAAATTGTTATGCGCGTACACTGAAGTACATCAACAATGGTGAAATGTATTGAATATCAAATGAAAATAGCATATTATCATTCTCTCTGCAGTAAACAGCATAGATTCTGCTAATGATATTTTAAAACAGATTGGAAGACAGAGCAGTCACAAATACCACGCAGGACCTAGACTTAACATTACAGGTGCTTGTTAGTATTATTTTGTTCTTGTTTAAGAGCTATTGTAGAGAGCGAAACCTTTGTTGCACACGAACTGTGTTTGTTAGGTTTTGTACATAATCATCTGTCAGTGAAGAACAGAGGACACCCAACTGTCATGGTTTGGGGTGGTCCGGGGTGGAATGAAAAAAAACCCCACCCTCGTGAGAATCACAGGATGGCTTGGTTTAGTGTACTACATCGAACACGTGCTCGAACGTCATGTCTTACCCTTATTTTCGTCATGGCGTCATTTAAGTGACATCTCCATGCATAGCAAAGCACGTCTTCCATTAGACAACTCTTGAAAAACCAAGCTTATCAACGTTGGAGGGGTCACCTGTAAATGGTACCGATATGAATCCCACAGGTATGTTAAGTCCGACGAAACAGCAGCTGAAGAAAAGTGACTTAGCTCCTGATCCAAACCCTTTCTTAGCTCTCTGTGGCGTTTGGGATTAAATGACAAATAAATATGCCCAAAATTACAGAGAATCAATGCCCAAAGGGTGCGTGCGCTACACATAACCAATGGCTAATAAACAGAACGACAATGAGCCCATTTAAATGTTGTCCAAGTTTTGAGTGGGATGTGTGATTGCTCTGTTATCCGTTTTGTTTGAAACTATCGCCTTCAATATTCTTTATTTTAAGATAACATTCTCTATTTATTGGATATGCAATGTATGTCCATTCTATCGATAGTGATGCTCCTTAATACTCGTGCGAAGACAATTTTACGTTTTTTTTTAAATTCCGCACAATTTGGTCAAGCCTGGTTTTTTAAGGTCAGTTTTGAGTGACCGTATCTATGAAATATTAATACCTCAGATGATGCAGAATTTATTTAGCTTTTAGCTTAGTTTTAGTAAAAGTTTTACGGCACTTGCATCACAATAAGGTCATATAAATGTCGAAGATTAGAGGAGTTACAAGAGAGTAAAAAACACAATAAAAGGAGGAGAGATAAAGACGATAGATGTTTGAGAGGAAAGAAGAAGCAAACAACACGAGAGCACCCGCCAACCACCCACCTTATTCAGCTTTAAATTGGTATGTTACATGAACAGGTAGTGCAAGGCTTTAGCATGATGGCTCGGTGAATACATTTTTAAGCAGTTTTTTTTTGGGGACACCACTATATAAATTAAGCAACTTAACTATGTATGTTCGACTATTATCTCAGTTCAGCCGTATCTTATGAGACATACTGGGAATGGAAGTCAAAAACTCGTAACGGAGATCTCTTTCTCATTTTGCAACATCTATCTGAAACTCTCTCTCACAACATAATTTGAGGCATAGGAAGTCGGAGGTAAAATATAAACTTGATTTAATTTCTTACGCCGCAAAATGCCATAGTGATGGCTATTCTTATTCATAGTACACGTATGTTCATAATTAAAAATAACAGTATTTGCATATCGTTATCGATTGTGTTGGGATAATATTCTGTTAACGTCAATTTT